AACAGAGAAATATGCTAAAGATATCCCAACGTGCTATCTGGCCCTTTGAACTGGCTTTATAGTGCTGAGCTAAAATTACTTTTTTTTCCTTAATTCTTAATGTCTCGAGCTTACGTGACACCCACTGGGAAAGGGAAAAGGGGAAGCCAAACAACCTGAAATCTGTGTGTATTTACGTCTAAATGCACACATGCACAGAGCAGATTCAGGAGGGGTTGTAGGTAGTGTACCTGACATGGTTGATGTGTCTCTTTCTGTATTGTCAAATGCTTAGTATGTTTACAAGCAAAATAAAAGATCAGCAATGCAGTCTGTGGAAAAAGAGGGTGATTAGCATAAGTGCCTGTCACGGAGCCCATGCTCAGCTGGGTACTTCAGTGTGGTCCTAACCTTACCGCTGTGTAGTCCCACCAAGGCAAGGGGACCGGCAATGGTTTAAATAGTGTAAGTGGAACCATTATTTTGCTTTTCAATATCTGTTTAAGGTTTTTTAGGTCTGGAATGAAAAAAAGAGTAGTTGTATTTGACTTCACTTTCTTTTTTTCTTCTCAGTGATATCTTCTGGCTGTCTTGAAGTGTCGTTTTCGTCCAGCAGTCTTTTTCACCAGGCTGGTCGCATTTTTCTGTGCAGATGCCATGCAGAGTGGTTGGGTTCTGCACATGAAATGAAAGAAAAGTTGAGGAGACCAAAATGAACTGAAGGGCAAAGACAGCAGAGTGTGGTCTTCTGGATCTCCCCGCATCTGGACCTTTTCAAGGGGTGGGCATTCATAGCCATCCTGCTTGGTCTATGAGTGTCTAGCATGTTCTTCAAAGTTTGTGAATCAAGGACAAAGTTTTGAGAGTGACTTTCCTACCTTCTGTTTTTAAGTAATCCTGCAACCACTAATTTCTTGCTCAGAAGTGTTTGTTTAGTGTTCAAAAAGATGCTGTTAAGAACAGCCCATCCCACTGTTTAATACTATTTATTTACACAGGGCTTCTATGTGATTGCTTTTTAGTCCGTGCATTTCAGTCTATGCATCTCTCCTCTATGGGGTGTGCTTGGGGTGATATCAGTGAGCTTGTTTATAAGGGTTAAATCAATCACATTTCAGATTAAACCTGGTAGTCCTCAGTTATAATGGGGGAAGAATGTAATAAAAAGAGATGGAGAGTAAACAGTGATACAACTTGGGGGGCTTTTTTGCCTTCAAATGCAGTAAGGGCTCATAAAAAAAGACATGGATAGGTGTGGTAATTCTTCATTCATTCACAGAGGAGAAACACGATTGAAAATTCTAAGTAGAGTAACAAAATGTTTGGAACAAATGTTTCCAGTAGTTGTAGAAAAATACGGAAAGAAATCAAAGCTGTTTTATTTCAGGCCTTTATGTGAAAATTTAAACCACACTCTCTAGATTCATTGCTACTAGCTGTAAAGTTCTAAGTTAGATGGATGCTTAAATGCTGTGGGTTTTTTCCTGCGGTTTCATCCATATTGTGTGCTGCACTCGCATTATTATTTAGTATTTTGGTGATGACTTGAATATATTGAGACTTTACAAGGATGTGCCATCTAAATTACAAGAAGATAACTCGTTGGTTTGTGGGTTGTGAAATGACTCCTACTGCTTTAAAAAGTTTAAGTCAAAATTACTTTATTTTTGTTCTGTGTTTTAATTATCCGGATATTCTGCTTTTAGGACTTTTTTTTTTCCTGCCAGATGTTTTTCACAGGGCCGTTAAATGGATGTCTTAACTTAAATTGAACCTTTTCAGTTCAACCCTGTATCCATGTGGAAAATGTTTTCTTGGCTTGCTCCCAGCAACAGTCTGATGACAGGTCAGAATACAGAAGTTTCCATATCATCATTGAGGCCCAGTCCCAAATCCAGTACTCACACAGGGCAAATTCTTCAGTGACAACTCTTGTAGACAGTCATTTCCCTGGGTGTTGTGTTGTACATATGGCTGGGTAGTCAAGTGTGAATGCAGAGTAAGAGGCACAGACTGTATCCGAATACCAAATTTTCAATGTTGTGGGCAAGAGGGAGACTTGCCTTCCTCATGCAAAGGGGAGACCTGTTTTGGCAGCATCTAGGATATTTGCTACCTTGACAGGACCCCTTGCATAGTGATGAGTCACTTTTTACACAGATCTCCTAGGTGAGTCCTAACCAACAAGAGCATGTATGTTTTTATAGGAGAAGGAGCAAGAGCTATCCCCCTTGTTTCAAGAAGTATTAAAAAAACCCATTCCCGGAAAACAGTCCTGCAAAACTTCCTGGAAATCTTCACCCTGTGGTGGTGATGCATCCTGAAAGAGGAAGCAGTAGGTTGCAACTTTGCTCTCTAGATCACTTCAGGCCTCAGGCAAGCTGGTAATACTGGATTTTGGTTTCCAGAAGAAAGTGCACTAAATAGCTTTGTATGAACAGGCAAGGTTAACACTGCAGGGAATGTTTTCTGCCGGCTGTGTGGTTAAATAATCTCTGTGCCTTGGGATTATTTTTAATCTGTTGTGGTCTTCGAAGCCACCTACTGTCTCTCCTTCTGCACATGATGTTGTTGGAGACTGAATGATTGCCTCTTCCACTGGGGTACTGACTGCTACATGTCCGAGTTTGTCACCACCGGGCTGCATGGTCCAGGTGCTTGGGCAGCTCATGGCTGCTGCCATGGTCAGGATCTCCTAGCACGTGTCCTGGGGACTGGAAGCACAGGAGCAGCTGCCATCCTGCCAGTGCTGGAGGGGCCTGCTTTGCCCACCATGTGCTGGTAAGACATCCTTATCAGTGAGGTGCCATGGCAGCAGTGTCATTCTCCCCACAGCCTCTCTAGCAGATAGCAGCTATGAGGAGCTGACCTCCTTCTCTCACCTGCCTGGAATCGCCCCGGTTCTGTCCTGAATGCATTTCCACATCCCAGTCTCTTTCCTTGCGACATTTCCCTAACTTTCTGAAGAACATTACTGGGACAGGATTGGCTAACAAACTCGATTTCGG